TAGGAACGTTGTTATATTAATTCTTTGATATTGTGGAAAAATGCAATATTCTTGTTGTGGTGAGCTTGCAAATGTAGGCATGTTATCTGATATCTGCCTGCAACTAACGTTATATAAGTATTTGAACGTAAGTGGAGACAACAGGGTTTGGGGGGGAGAGGGCAGGGAGGGCTAGAGATGAGGTCGTCATTTGGAAATGGTAAGAAAAAATAATACAACTTTGGGTGTCATCTCATGTAATGCAATTGGGGGCGGTATTAAAGGAAATTTTTTTCTACACCTAACTTAAATTTTTAATGTTAAAAACCCAAAATTTAAGCCCTGCATAATTAATTTTTTTCTTGAACAAAGAGGTTAACTGGAGAATTAGTAACTCTGTGATTTAAAATCAGAGCAAGCAAGGGAAACCATATTTAAAAAAGGGAGGCAGCAGTCTTTAATGAGGCTTTAAGATTACTTTCAGCATTCATTTCATTGAAAATTTTGAAGAAAAAATTGCAGGAGAATAAATGTCTTGTAAAAGATTCAGGCTCTCAAGTTGTTTCATTGAGAGGCTGGAAGAATTCCTGACTTATGTCAGACACGGTTCTTCTGAGAAGGGGGGTAAAAACAGCCCATTGTTTGTTCCCAGCAAACAAAAGTAACAATTTTAAAAGGAGTTTTTAAGATTTCTCTATAAAAAGAAAGTTTATAAAAAGGTGCAGACTGTTTCTTCCCTATCCCAACCCTAAAAGTAAAACTTGTTGTTTTTCTTAAGCTCTTCCTTCAATCCTCCAAAGGCACGCTGTGGTGCACTCATTTTCATGCCTTTTATTATGGTGGAGCCTTCATGTGATAGCCATATTATAGTGCATAATTGGTATTTTTTTAAAACTTTTGTTTTTTTGTTGTTTTTTTTTTTTAATCTCAGACTATTTGACAGTGAAGCTGCAATGAGTAAATGGTCAAATGTTTAAAGTGCATCTTTCACAGGTGAGACACGTCTGCCACAGACAGAAGGGTTTTCTGTTTGAACAGATATTGAGCTCGGGCTCTCTGTTGGATGCTTTCCTCATCATACTAACATCAGAAATTATTTGCGTTTCCTGCTGGATCATGAATGCAAAAAAAATCCTGAAACAAGTCAAGCAAGACTCAGTCTTGCCAAGTGTATTACTCTGCCACCAGTATTTGGTTTCTCCACTGATGGGTGGTCTGTTCAAACCAGCAACGCTCTTGCAACACCTAAGTCGAAACTTATGTGTGATGTCTAAGGTCTTTACAAAGGCAGGTAGGACACAAGTTAGTCCAGTATCAGCTATTTAGTTGAAGTATACACAACACATAAATGTCTTCCAGGCTGGTCTGTATCACAGAGTGGAGGACTTTCATGTTTGGGCAGACCGCTTACTAGTCTCACGTGGACTAAGTTAGGATTTTAAGCAGTAATCTCATCTCTTCTCTTGTCCAAGGCAGGATGAACTCTCTTGATGTCCCTTCAGACAGATGTTTGTCTGACCTGTTCATAAAGACTTCAGAGACTCTTCAGGCAGTCTGCTTCCCTTTTCTGAGGTTTAGGACTAACTGCCATGCCCTAAAATATTTCTGTCATCTGCTCTGTAAGGTTGTGTTTAGCAGCAGTATCATATCCTTCTGATCAGTTTGACATCAGAGTCTTCTCTCTTAAAGCAACTCCTGCACTGTATGTTTTCCTCATCTGAAAACACCTTTCCTGGGAATGGAGGACAGGGTACATCATTTTATTTGGCCCCTTTGGACTCTTCCTGTTGTCTGTGCCATCTTATAAAAGTGATTATTTTAGTAGGTTTTGTTTTGAGTTGGATGGCAGAAGAAATTTAGACCACTGAAGCCATGCCATATATTACTCCACAAAGAAAAAGTAATTCTTACCTTAAGTTTGTTTCCAGAGTGGGTTGTTTTGTTTTGGTGGTTTGGTTTTTTTTATTTTGTTTTATTTTTTTTAAATCATTCACTCTTTTCTTTGAAGCAGGTTCAAAGCCAAACCTTACCTTTGGTTCAGGAAAACTCAAAAGATCTCCAAACTACATGCCTTGGCTACTAGGCTCAAGAATGGTATTACATGGGTAGTTTTGATTTGACTGTCTCTGGCTGAGAAAGTGAAATTAGTCTCTTCAGGTTAAAGCTTGCTGATCCAGAATTTAGGTGGCCTGTCGGTAACGTCTGAAGTTTGGCCTGTGTTACAGCTTCAGGGTCGGGTGATTGCTTTGCTCCTCTCCTTTGCTTAAATAGGAGTGTTATCACTCATCTTGTATTGCAAGTCAGAGATGAATTGTACAGACAGATGGCTTGAAACAGACAGGTTATTACAATGATAGTCCTTCTATATGTAGTGCATATAGATTCTGTGAGCTGCCATTCTCTCCTGCTATTTTCATGTCCTTTGCCACATGGATTCTCAATTGACTGTGGCACAACTGGGCATGCATAAAGGACTTTTCTTCTTTCTTGACATATGCAAACCCCACCTTACAGAAGAACAGACACTGCTTCTGAAAGAAACCTGAGTTGTGTGTGGGCATGTATGCGCCCCAGAAGAGGAATTAATATAACTGGTATCGTTGATGTTGAGTAAGCAGTTGTTTACTCTTGGGCTTGACTTGGCACGATTTGTGATGGTATGACATGGTGTTCTACCAAGCTCCCTTTTATTACCCACATTCCTAGTGCTTTTTTTAAAGTTGTTTGGTTTTTTTAAATAATTGTTTAAAATAATACTTTAGGTTTTATAGGTTGTGAAAAGACCCTTGAAAATGTGGACTCAGTGCACATCAATACAGTAAGGACTGTCTCAAATTAGAGAGCGACTAAAAAAGGTATTCTGAGAGATGTGTCAAATTCCTGTTCAAGTTAACAAAAGTAGCTCAGTTATCTAATCAAGATAACTATGAATATCTGTCTTCCTACCTATTTCACTCCTCTCTGAAGAAGAGGGAGTGTGGAATTGATCTCACATCCTACAAGCTGTTCAGAGTGACTGTTCACTTTTGCACTGTTTGTGTCAATTAAGGAAAGATATTGCTGCTTGCCAACCTTTCAGGCCAGTGTTTAAATTCCAGTCTGGAAACCATTACTAAAAAACATGGTGGAATGCAGCAAAGTATTCAGCTTTCCTGTGGAGTCACCTGAATACCTGCAGAAATGCTGTTTAGTACTGTGTATGCAGTCAGGGACTGATTTATTTAGCTCTGATATTTAAGGTTTGTAGAGAGGGGTTTGGGGATTTAGCTTTTAATTTCTGCACCTGAGTAGGTTCTAAAGCTCATAGCTTTCCCTAAGTTAAATAGTAAAGACTATGTCTCATTCTCTTGGATTAACTTGTTTATTCGGGGTTAATGATCCAAATGTAGCATTTGCTTAAGTATGTTATTTAAAATGTATTGGATATTTGCACATTTACTAGCTTTAAAGTGTTCTTAAGTGTTACTTATTTAATAATGACATCTTAATGCTCTTGTGTTTAATTCCCTAGCTACCTTTTTCTTTAAAAACATGAATGAAAGTAAAGCAAGTGAGCGGACAGTGATTTTTAAGACCTCTGCAAAGATACATGTGAGGAAGACTTACTCATAGCATCTACTTTTAGGCTGCCTTTGGGAAATCAAATCTTAGAAGGCCAAGTTGGAAGCTGAGGTTCTATACATGTCAAGTGTTGGGTGTTTCTAACTGCTCCCTGGTGACACCTAAATTAGATGTCTGAAATGATCTCCATGAACACCCCATGCTATGTCCCCGTTGTGTATCTGCTAGACTTTCAGTGCAAGGGATCAGATACTTCTTCATGGCAGTATGACAAAGGGTCATGTTCCTACCAAGTTTCGTTGGAATATAACAAACAGAGGAAACTAAGTAAAGCATTTAACTGTAAACTTTCTGAAAACAAGTAAATTTATATTTCAAAAAAACAGTATAAATTATAATACCCATGCGTACAAATATTGTTGACTAGTGTTGTTGTAGGAATTCCACTTATTAGCAGTAGATTATTTTGTCCCTTGTATATTGCTTGGGTTTTTTTCTGCTAGAAACTGTTGTATATCCTGTAGAAACCCACAGACTTTTATTGTTAATACATCGTGAAACTAACTCCCATTTTCAAGCTCATACAGATTACAAAGTCCTAACAGTGATGAATGTTTTAAGTATGATGCACAGCTATTTGTGATGTGAATCCCAGACTACGTTCTTTTTTGCACAGTGTGTATTTCCAGCTACAAAGCAAAATATGGCTACAGACAATGCAGAAGAGTCTTTTCTGTATCTTAGAAGCACAAATAAAAACCCTTGAAGTTTCCCTTGTTGTGGAACAGAACAGCCGCATACTTCACATTTTGTAAGATGCATCTGATGTTCCAGTCCCAATTTCAGGCTGAGCAATGCGCAGTACTTTCTGAAAAGAATGGCCATGTTAAATGGCAGGAACACGACTGTAAAATACACATTATATCTGTTTCAGTCTGCGTGCTAGTAGTGACAGGTGCTCAATGGTTGTCAGCATCCTTGTCAGCACGGAGACTCCTTTGACATTAAAGTCCCCAGCTCGGTCCTGATGCTGCGCAGCTCTATTGGCAGTTCCATCAGGCTGCAGCGGATCGGCGAATGTCAGAGCCTCCGCTGTTCTTCTGGTATGTCGCCAGCCCTCTGTGTTTTCGGGCTGGTCTTGCCTGTTATTTGAACTTGCCATACTTCTTCAGCAGCTTTCCTGTGGGAAATGAGCGGATAGGTCATGGGTATGTAGGTATCTTCAGGGCAATGCAAAACCACATCCAAAGTGACTTGCATCAAGGTTTGTAACGATTACCGTTGCTTTAAGCCAATCAATGGGTAGAGTACCCAGGGACTCATTAAGTGGCATTTGTGGTGTCTGTAACAGAGCTTTGAGCTGTATTTCAGGAAATGCGGTGACAGCCTTTAATGTCTAATTGACCTCTTCTCTTTGTCTCACTTTCCATATTTTCTTCTGATGTGTTCCCCTGTGGCAGCAAACAGCCCTGCTCAGTATTCTGAACTTCTGCTCGGAGCTGCAGCACCTCAGCCTGGGCAGCTGCGTCATGGTGAGTACTTACACCGTGTGTGTGTGTGGGGGGGGTGCGTGCAACTTGCTTTGGAACTCAGTCTGGGTTTATCTTTCACAAAGACGTGTTAAATGCTGGGTTGATATTGTGCTATACTCTCTTGAAAGGTCCAAGACGAATGCAGCTTAGTCATATACTTAAGGGTTACGTACTAGTTTAGCAGGCCTAAAACATAGCTTGTAGGCTTTCTCCTAGTTCTTCAGCCTTTTCCTAAATTTGGGGGCATTCTTTATATGCATAGTCACTTTTTCTTTCCAAAACTAATAATCAAGACTGACTTATTTTTATTCAGACCAGGTCATCATGCCTGGCAGATTAATGCTTGTGTCTGACCCTACAGTAATAACCACGAGAGAAATATTTTCAGCAAAAGCCGTTTGAGTCCTGGACTTGCTGGGCGCGCTCATTGGTTTAAAGAAAGAGAGTACAGGGACAGCAGCAGTCCTTGCAGGGCGCTTGTCTGAGCTGTACCGCACGTGCGCGTCAGAGCTGTGCGTGGAGGGATTCTGGCCTGCTGCTGTCCCCGCTGGTGGGCACACCGCGTCACTCCCCAGGAGACTCAGCTGACCTTCCTCCTAGGTCAGGAAGGAAGGGGCAAAGCAGAATTGGCTCAGCCTTCCCTGCTTTGACTCATGGACGGACGAGGAAGGCAGCGTGGCTAGGCTTTTCCAGCGGTCCTTGTCTTCCTGTGGTTTCTGATGGTGGATTTCATTCCTTCTGTCTGCGTGGTGGGACCCTGTTTCAGTCCCTTTGGCTTGCCCGAGGTAACCGATAAGACTTCCGTAAGAAGATGCAGCAACTAGTCAACCCAGAATGGAAATGAGGACAATCTTCGGTCTGCACGTGCTTATGGTTGCGGTGCTTGTGGTCATAAAAACAGTTTTAATCTTATCTTTTAAAGAAAAAACGTGTGCAAAAAAGAAGGGCTTTTCAAAGAAAATAAACTTTTCACTGCATTTTCACTGATCCTTAGTATTAAGTGAATTTAAAAGTACCTGTGTCTGGGGGTTGATAGAAAAATTATTTTATTGTTGTCTTCTGTAAAAGTATACCTCACTGTACTCTACAGTGAATAATTTTCAGAGCTCTTTAGAAATAACAAATGCTTAAGACGGATCCGTAGGTGTGTTAGCAAGCAAATCTTGAAACACCTATGTATGTCTGGAAAGATGGTATACATGACAAAGTGTTTGCTTTCCTTGCAGATTGAAGACTATGATCTTATAGCAAGCATGATGGGAGCAAAATGCAAAAAGCTTCGCAGTCTGGACTTGTGGAGATGTAAAAACATAACTGAAAATGGAATAGCAGAATTGGCTTCAGGCTGCCAGCTTTTGGAAGAACTTGATCTTGGCTGGTGCCCTACGTTACAGAGCAGTACGGGCTGTTTCACAAACCTTGCACGTAAACTCCCAAACTTGCAAAAGCTCTTTCTTACAGCCAACAGGTCTGTGTGTGACACAGACATTGAGGAGCTTGCAGCAAGCTGTACGCGTTTACGGCAACTGGATATACTGGGTAAGAAAATGGAGGAATACTGTTATTTATCTTACTGTGTCTCAAAAGCCTTGCAGTTAAAAAGGAGTCCTTAAGACAAAACTGTCTTCTAGACATATTTTAAAATAAATATTTCTTAAAATTATGGTTTAGCATATGAAAAAAACCGAGGGAAGCTTTAGTCGCTGCAGTGAGTTTCTGACTCAGAATCCAGTGGATTTATACCAACCATGTAATTTGACTGCTTAGTATGAATTGCTTAAACTGAGATTTAAGTGCAAGATTTTTCAATAATTTTAGTTTCATGACCATTAGTTTTTTAACTGAAATTTTCCTCTTGACTGTTGGAAGATCCAATTTCTTATTCCTCTTTCTGCTTTTGTTTGTTATTTCTGTGAAATGTGACAAAGCATATGTATAGTGCAGGTCTGTGATCAATAAACAGATTTCTGCTTTTGCACAATACAGATACACCAAGAAATACTGAATTTCTTTGTCACTTTTACCAGGAAGTGAATTTGACTCATTAAAGAGGAAAAGGTAATTAACAGCAAAACTTAAAATGGACTTTCTAGGAAGTTGGGAAAGAAGTGATGAAGGGCAGAAAGCATAGCTAATCTTAAATTTCTAATCCTCTGCAGCTTCTATAGCTAAAAATATTTTTAGGAATCTAAAGTAAATATACTTTGGACCCTTGAGTAAGGACTTTGAGAAATGTAGTTTTGCGTGATACTGAATTTATTCTTTTGATGGTGGAATATGAGGTTTTATTTTTAAAGTAATGTAGGACAGCAGGGATATTTGTGACATCAATGTGGAAGAAATTTCTTCATGCTTTTACTGACTTATTTTCACAGGGTTAGTTGAAAAAGAAGGATCTAAAGGAAAGGGAATACTGTGTATTTTTAATATTTAATAATTTTAATGAAAATACTACATTTAGTTTGAGAGAGATACTGGAAAGAACTGAGAGCCCTCAACTTGAATAATGTTCCAAGCAAGTTTAAGGCTATCAGCGTTTCTCATTACAAAAAGATTTACCACATAGCTTCACATTGTCTACTCCAGTATAGCTAGCACACTCTTCTATAATGAAATACGGTTTTACTCATCTCTGACTGAGAAAGTTGCCTTCTGACCAACAAGAGAAAGGAGAATGAACTTGACTCTACCTAGTACAAATTGTAGAGACTTGATGTATATGTCCACAGGAGGCAACATGTTTTGCGTATCCTTAAGGGAATCTATTTTATAGCTAGATTATCAAGAGCGCATTTCCCTATTCAGACAAGAAAAATTTCCAAACAGCACAGTGAATGAGGTCTTTCATAAACACGTATGTTCTTCTGACCACCCACTTCCATGCATTTCTGTTACAATGGCATTGTGTCTGCCCACAAAGTGGTCTGACCTTTTCACTGCACCAGAGGCTCCCCATGAATAGTTTGGCTGTGTTAAGCCTATGGACAGTCTGCTGCTTCTGTTGCCTCTCTGCCGGCAGTAAAGGTTTGTTGCCATACTTCTCTAGCGTTTGAATTCAGTTTGACATCTTATTGATGTTTTTGTGAAAAAAATAACATGTGAATGTGGAGAAGGAATTTGTTCTGTTCCCTGGGTGCTTACCAGTGTTCCTGAGCCAAGTGGATTTGGAGTCAGCCTTTCCCAGTGAGACTGCACATTCAGATAAATGTTCTCCAGGGGATATCCAGTTGAATTACTTGCAAGATGCTACCAAAAACCTGAATATCCACCTTCCAGACCTCACTTTTTTCCTTCAGAGGAATACTTAGTAGGATGGAAAAAAAGATTGTCTTCTGCTGTAAACGTGTCAGTACAAGGTAACATGATATATGTGAAGGAGTTACCCAGCTCTTTTGGCAACAGGGAGGAAACTGTGTTCATTTCTTTGAATGTGGGAACCATTATAGTCTGTGGTTAAAAGAAAGAGTTGTCAAGTAGAACATCGGGTCATCTGGAGGTAGAGTTGCCAGGTGTTCCCATGTAAATGCAGAAGTCTGTGTTGTCTGAACTAAAGAGCTAGTGTCTCACAGTGCAGGAGTACCAACAAAGTCATAAATCTCTGTATGTGCTCTAACTTTTGGCAGCTGATGTAGGGCCATCCAGTTACTCTAAGCTACATAAATGCTTAATATGTTTTTGTCCCTCTGAAGAAGTGTGACAACAGGTCTGAAGCTGTTAGAGGCCTGAGGTCAGTGCTCAGCTTTGCAAGAGTAACCTTGAACAGTGGGTCTTCTCTGTGATGTGAATGAACGAGAGGTGCTCTCATTATATCCTTTGTCATCTCCCAAGTACAGAAATGTCTGGCTTGTACATGCATTGTAAAGAGTGTAGAAATATTGCTGCTAGGTTAGCAGTGCATGCTGTAAGGGAACTTCTTTTGCTTCAACAAAGCAGTGTAAAAGCTTGAGGTTTTTTGCTGTATACAGGCACTTACCTAAGTAGTCATCAGCATTGACAATACTATGCTGGTTTCTCTCTGCAGTTGTTAGAACTTACAAACTTGTCAGGGAGAAATTCTTCTTTCAGTTACAGATTATTTATCATCACAATAGCATCAGGACTGGAGGAATCTAAGCCTCTGAAAGAAATCTCGTTGGGCTGTGTGTCATTTAAGTATTAAAAACTGAATGTTCTATACCCTGGATGCTGTTTTCAGGTGGTAGGTCCTGCGGCTTGCTACCCATCTGTCCTTTACGTAGCCTCTCCATTGTTGTTCGGCAATTTCCTTGTTGCAGAATCAGAGGACTCTGTAGAAGATGAAAATTGCCAGTTTTCAAGGGCTCCATAAACTTACTGGCCCATGTAAAGCATTGTATGATGAGTGGCTGCGTTCGTGGTGTGTAAAATGTACTTCAGAAAGTAAATTTCTGTTTAAAAAAATCAATGAATCATGGGTTGGATCTACATCTGCTGTGTTATAATACAATTTGGAAGAGGAAGCATGTTGTAAGTGTGTCACTGAGTACATGAGTTCAGAGCTTTCTTTTACCCATTCCATACTGAGCTGCCTGCTTACAAGTATCATTTTCTTCTCTGCCCACATCTTTTCCACTGAGTGACGTGGCAGATTTCCACCCCGCAGTAGCATGATCCAGCTGTGATCATCTGACAGTTTTGTAGTGATGGAGTACCTAATCCAGTGCTATCAAAAGTTAAGTGGATACCTCTAGACCTGTAGTTAAAATCTAGTCTTCAAACTGCGATCAGCATTGAGCAATGTGACAAGTAGACGACAACCTGAAGTGGCAGTGCCAGAAGCTTTTCTTGGACATCATATCAGCTGCTTAGTTCTGTTGCTGTGGGGCTACCTGCTGCTGTCCAGGATGAAGAATAAGTCTTCTTAACGTCACTCCCCTAAAGTCCCAAGTGCTTCTGTCCTGCACAGAAAGAGTAGTGAAAAGTAGACACCCTTGTTACCACAAAATTCATGTATTCCTATCTACATACCAACACCTCCCACACCTTCCTGAGCAACAGAAAACCCAGCTGCCCCCTTGCCAGCTGTCAAAATTTGCAGCTTTATCTTGAGAGCATCAACACGTAGTTAGTCAATTCAAACATGAAAATGTGTAGCATGTTAAAATTTTGAATTTGAGTTGTGTGTAGATTGAATAAAATGTAAAGATTAATGTAAAGAATAAAAGGCTAATCTGGCTGATCTAGGGGAGGAAAAGAAAAGTAAATGTTTGAGGGAATAGTGCTAGTTATTTTCATGGTCTCTACTGCTAAATATTATTTGGTGTGTAGTAGTATCCCTTGCCCTAGAAACTAGAGCTCTGGCAATTTTTATAGCCCATGGTACACAGGCCTCCTGAACAGCTCTAGAATGTGAAGACTTGGATATAAGATAGGTATAAAGGAAATCATTTACAGCTAATAAACGTAAGTGTTCTAGCAAAGAAAACATTACTCAAAAGTGCCTTTTGCAAAGAGAATTTTTACAGAAAATAAACTGAACAACAAAATTAAATAGCAGATTTTAATATACTGGTTATGTATTTATTCTGAGAAATGGCCTATTACTCCGTGTAAGAAAAGTTGTAATATATAACAAAGGTCCCAAAGCCTCCAAACTCCAGAAAAATGCGCTATATAGGTAACTAGCAGGATACATTGTCAGTCTTTCAAAAGCAAAGGAAAATATGCTGTATTACACTTCTGAAATGCTTTTGGATGTGCTTTTAAGAAAGATGCATCATTAATTGTACATAGTATAAATAAAAGACTGCAGATGATGTTTGCTTATCCCGTGATGTGAATAACCAAACCCCAGCCAGGTTGCTGGCCTTTTTAGCTTTTAGAAAAAGGTATTTACTAACGCGAAATTTTAAGTCTGAGGAGGAAAAAAGAAACAGGTGCAGTAAAACATGCAATTTAGGATGTCCTACTTAGTTACAAATCCATTAAAAATGTTAGTCTTAGATGAAACGGTAGGAGAACTGTCGAAGTTCAGGTAGGAAGGAATGAAGAACATCCTACACAAAAATCTGTGGCTAGGCATCTAGATCTAGCATTTTTGTAGAAACACACATTTGGATCTTGAAGCGTAAAAGTTGTGATACGTAAATGAGACTGGTTTTAAATGAAGGTACTGATGCAGTAGCAATTTTAAGGCTTGGTAGAGGAAAGATGAGTAGCATAATGTTTTGCTCCTAGAGCTTGAGTTGGAATGGTAGAGCAGATCCTGACTAGAACAGTGGTACTATGGTAAAATTTGTGGTCAAGTGAAGTGAATAACTAAAGCGTATTACAGAATTTCTGTGTATGGCCATAGGGACTGTTACATCAAGCACCAGTCTGTTGTGGTGACAGTGATCATATAATGATAAGGGAGTTAACAATCACAATAATAATGACAAGCTTTGATTAGCTCCGTGTTGGTGAGGTAAAATTTGGGGGCATAATAGCAAAGACTGTTTTTGCGTGATGTTAATGATGCCCCAAAGCAACTAATCTGAGAGCCTACCATAGAAGAAGTGAAGACCACACTTAGATACCCCCTTGCTTACACAGAAGAGTACAGGAGACTGCTGAAAACAGAGGCATCTTTCTGGAAATGAATCCTGTTCAGGGAAGGAAAATAGGAAGGTGAACTCTAGAAAGTGAAACAAAATCACAGTAAGGCAGTATGAGATATTAAGGAACCGTTGACTATAGCTAAATGCTGGAACTGTGTTTCAGATATGTTAGAAGTTTACAGGAGAGTTACTGAGGTTGGTGGCTATTCCAGATGTGAAGGATCGCTCGGATACAAGAAGGCCATTGCAGAACTGTTGTCTGTCCATTAGTGCTCATGGCAAGGGGGATCAAGTAGGCTGCTACATCAGAGCCATTCTTTCCAGGAGATTAGCCTGGAAAGCTGCCTTAAATTGGAATGCCAATACAGAAAGCTTTTGAACAAATCGATCCATTGAACAATAATAAATTGTTAGGACTAAATGGTATTTATGCAGCGGTTCTAAATGAGCTCAAATACAGGGCTGTGGAAATCCTATTTCTGTCGTGTGATCCGTCACTTAAATCAGCCTCAGCACTAGAGGAATGAAGGGTTACAAACATGGCACAATCTTCTGTGAAGCTTGCAGGTTAGAGGCTACAAAACAGTAAGATCGTCTTTCGCTCTGTGTAAACCAGTTGCAACCATAAGAAGGTCAGTCAGTGGACGTGAAAGCTGTTACAGTATTTTGAAGGAGAGCTGCATCCCTGTGAGGATAGTAGTTATGCCTCTCCAGTCTTTTAGAATTCCTTGGAGTTCTTGGTGAAGGTGAGCACTGATCCAGTCCACAGGGGATTGGATTTTCAAAAGCTTTAGCCAGGGTTGTTCTGCTTTTGTAACTTAGCTGTCTTCTCCTGGATTATGAGTGTTTCAAAGACAGCAGAGGACAAGAACGTGTCATCTCTTTTTGCAATGAAGTTAAGTCACGACTGTGGTCACCAAGGATCTGTAGTGATCTGCTTATAAGTAATCCAGGCAAAGGGGTGAATAATGCTGTACCGGAGGGTAATACCCAGGTATTAGGGGTACAAAAACCTTAAGGTGAAGAACTTAACACTGAAAAAATGCAGAATGATCTTACAATACTTAGTAAACGGATGATAAAGCGGGAGGAAAACTGTTGCATCAAGTGCAAAGTAATCGTATGAGGCAAAATAACATTAACTAAGCATATGGGGGGTGGGGGGGAAGGACACTTTATATTAGCTACTGTTTTGTAGGAAGGAGATCCTGTGGACAATTTTTGGAAAACGTCAGCTCATTGCTCAGCATCATTTTAGCGGGCAAAGAGAAGGTTAGGATTTCTTAGGAAAGAACTGGAGAAAACACTGTAAGACTTCATTATACAGTTACTTTGTGCTCAGTGCACTGTATAGTTCTGGTCATCTAATTTCAAGTGTACTAAACTAGCGCAGAAACAAGACAACAGGGGTCATCTGAGATGCAAAAGAGTCTGGAAAACAGACAGCCTTGAGGGAACAGAAGTCCATAGGACTATGAATGATGTGGAAATAGTGAACTGGGAATGATCTCTCGCTGCTGCTTTGTTATTCATTGCGCCTTAGCTGTTGCAATTAATAGGCAGTGGGGGTTTAAGGCTGATTTTTATTATTTTTTTTTAACATATAGTTGAACCATAGAACTCGTATGAAGGCGGCAAAGAAGTTCAGACAAGTAGTAGCAGTCATGAAAGGTAGCTTCAGAAATCCTTAAACTGATAATTTTTGGTAGTTGAAGATCCACCAGTGAAAAGCTGCTTTAAAAATCTGCTCTTGCCTTTTTTTTTTTTTTTTTGTGTAAGCATTATTGGCCATGGCCATAGACAAGTTCCTGGGCTAGATGGCTTTTTGGGGTGCAATTCAGCTCAAGACGGAGCCGTATAATTTGATGTGTCTACCAGCAGGTGTTAGATGTCATGTTGGATGCATAAACTCCTTTTAGAGCCGGGAGAGCCTGATGAGCCGTTTAGCCCACTGGAGACATCCAGGCTTGGTTCACTTGCCCAGAGTAACCTGCCTGGCTTCCAGCCGTTCCAGTAAGACATGGCTCTCCTCCTCGGGGTCCAGTGTCTTGTCCGCCAGCTCCGTGTGGATGTCCTACACGGTGTAAGGAACCCCAAGGGGCTCTAGGCACTTCGGGCAACTGAATCATACCCCAGTGCCCGGTCAGCTGAATCATGTGCTGTGCACCATTGACTGTACTGACTAGATTTCCATCACCTATAGTGGGTGTGTGGACGCGTGCTTATAAACACCTATTTATTTGATTTCTGACTGAATCCCATGCTTGATCTGACGCTGTGTGATGCTTGGGAGTTCAGTCACTGTGGTCACGTTTTCAGCAGGGGTAAACAGTGTGTTTTCTGTTACAGTTAGCGCATATATAGGTATGTTTCCTAGTCTCTTGACCAACTGCCCCTGCGTGTGCGTAATACCCACTCGCTCTAGAGTCCTAGAAGCCCTGCTGATGTGTTTGGAATTGGAGTAGCCCACAGTAGTTGGTGTGCTGTGCCGGTCAGCGCAGTCAGCAGAAGTCATGAGAGCGTGAGTGTCGCGTGCTGTGTTGCTTGCTGCCAAAGCCCAGCATCTGGTCACTGGGAGGTCTTGTGGCTTTGGGTACTTGGCTTCTGTAGTTAGAGATTCCCCTGAAGTGGTAAAGTTGCCCCCCAGTAGAAAATGATGGAGTTACTTAAACTGTTAAGAAAATAGAATAAGCTTCTTAAAGATGAAAATTTTGCACTGTCTCTGAGAAGCTTTTCATTTGAAATCTAATTGAAATAATCTAAATAAAAATTGTGTTGTAGCAGCATTTTTTCATGACACAGTATTAGCAGCTTTAAAAAAAAGCTATCATATTCTCAGTAACTTTACAATTTGTTTTGTTTCTTTTTTCTTTTTTTGAACAGGGACGAGGATGGTAAGCCCTGCATCTTTAAGAAAATTGCTGGAGTCTTGTAAAGATCTTTCTTTACTCGATGTGTCCTTCTGTTCACAGATTGATAATAGAGTTGTCCTAGAACTGAATGCCAACTTCCCTAATGTGTTCATAAAAAAGAGTTTCACCCAGTGACTCCCTACATATGCTGCTGTGGAATTTGTTTGACAGAGTTGTTTCCTGTGAATTTGTGCTGACTTTTTTTGAGAAGAATATAAATCCCCTATGAAATAGTGGAAAGTATTCATTATCTACACAAATGGGTAAAATACGTTTAAATATATTATGCATTTCTTAAAGAGTCGATATTGTACCTAAGAATTGTTTTACTCTGTGTTAATTGGTGGCACTGCATGTTTTTAAATACCAGCCATATGTGTGGCTTTAATGAGAAGAAAATTAATAGTGTCTTCTTAGATGTCCCTTTATAGGGTCTTACACAAAATAAGCTATGTTAATATCCAGGTGAAAGCAGAAGTTCAATATTTAGCAGTAAGAAAGAGACGGGTGCTTCCTCTTTATGTATATGTGTTTGTGTGTGTATATATAGATGTATACAGATCTATTTGTATATACATACACAGATACTGTAGCATTCTAGTTTGGCCTGCAACATGAGATCTTATGATCTGGCCTATAATCAGTTGTTTGAAAACCTGTTTAAGCTTGTATAAGAATGGATTGAAAAGACACTTTGTCGTCTTTGGGTTTTTTGGCAATGAATTCTGCCTGATACATTTTTTCTTCCTTCCTCCACCTGAAATAGATGTAGTGATGTTTTACAGTCCAGCCTAAGTGACACAACAGATAAATGCAAGAGCCTTTCACCTGAACTTAGAGCAGAAACAAAAGAGAAAATTGGCATCTGCTTCTTGGTATTGGATATAAAGTTTGAGTCAGGTACTTAGTGTTGTAACTGGTAATGTGTAGAAAACTCCAGAGCAATTTTCTTTTCAAATTTCTGTCATGGTCAAGACTTGATTTGTGATACATCTGGTTATCATGCAGAGTACCATAAAAAATAGAACTTACGGTAATGCATTAGCAACTGTCCCTTACACTGGCATCAAATCTACTGTCAAGTGTAAAACCAAACATCTTTGTTCAGTAAAACAGCAATGAAAATATAGTAGGTTTGAAACAAGGGCAATATGATTTGGTGATTTAATAATCACCCAACCTTAGTATTGTATTTGTTTTGGTTTGGGGTTTTTTGTTTTTCCAAGAGGTGATGGGTCAAAGTACTATTGCACTCTCTCTTTTTAACACTGATGGACAAATTCTAGAGGTTTCTTCCTTTTGCACTTCCTTGGATGAAGTTTTTATCTCTTTTTTTTTTTTTCTTGTATGTTGTTATGTACAGCTTCAGTTTAGAATTTTACCTTTTAGCTATTGTTGATGAATATGGACCATGAAATATAGCCTGTCATTTGATATTGGTTCCACTGTTCTTGTATTGATGGCACTTATTACCTACTGGAATAAGAAGAAAAATATTTTGTCTGGCGAAGTACATTACTGCAAAGAAGAGCACTGGCAAAGAATACCAGTTTATGCAGTAAATAACCGACCGCTACTAGAGGACTGCTACGAATCATTAAAGATTTGATGATCTCTGTGACTCCTGAATGAACACTTTGAACTCTTTGTGCTGGTGCCAATACTTTATAAACCATGTCATGAAACAGCTACAGAACATTTATCTGATTTTATAGAAAGACCTTTCTCTTCAGGTTTTTAAATTTTACAGAATCTTTTGGGAATTCCAGATCCAAAGAAGGGCATGCAGAGTTGGCTTTTTGATTTTTTCCTCCACACAGATGGCACTATGGGATTTCCAACTAGATTATGCCATTCCTTTTTTTTTCTTTCCCCAGAAAACTGGACATTGTCAGAGATCTTCAGATTGATTTTCTTTTTTTTTTTTTTTTTTCCCACACTGACAGATGTCAGCTTTGGTGTGATTCTGTGTGAGACCTCATTTCTTTCAATCAGGTTTGGGTTGATCTATTTTTCTGGGAACTTAACTTCTGACTTTTTTATCTACAAGTAATATTTTTCATTGTAATTGAGTATTAAACATTATTGTTCTAGTTATAGGAGAACACAGGTTCAGATAATGGGAGTTTACAAAGAACAGTGTTTCAAAACAAATGTCTTTGTTGTGAAATTTCACTTCTCAGGGTGCATCTGTGTTTATCTCCTTTTTTTCTTAGAGATCCTTCTTGTTTGTTTAGATACAGATTCTGTAAATAGAATGGGATGTGGATGAAGTGATAGCCATTGTGCCTTCAAACTGGTAAACTTGGTAAATAATACAGTTTCACTTCCACAGCATCTGTGAATCAAATAAGTGTTTTTGTAATCATGTCTGTGTAAAGGATTTCATTCTCTATTGCTTTTTAGGGTAGTATAAAGGAGGTTTAAATTGACATTTTGTTCATAGTAAAGCATTTTTTTTTTTCTTATGCTGTGCCTTCTGTTTGAAATTGTTTTTGTCAGGAATTCTCTATTGTCCCTTGAAAGATAAATGGAAGTCTACTTTTTATTTGGACTATTTAAAACTTAGCTGTTGCTAACACATAATTAATTCAAATAGCTGAGAAATAATTGGGAAAGACTTCCATCTATAGTTGTAGACTTCAATCCTCAATCAGTGGGTCAGAAGCTCTTTTAGCTATGGCTTTCTACGTCCAAGAAGTCTTCCAGCAAAGAGAGGATAGAGCAGACTCGACATGTCTAATATTTCCAGGATAAAGAAAACAACATGCTTTTTTAGACCTTCCTTATACATCACAAAGAAGCAAGAATAGATCACTGTCCTTTTAGTTCTGCTATTTTACACTTACGTGTGTATATCTATTTATACATATGTATGTATAATTTATATATACACACATATGTTTGTGTGTATCTATGAAAATTTTTTGTATGTGTGTACATACTTATACATATATGTATAAATCTCAAAGTTTTTCATGTAGGAATTACTTTTGTGAGGTGAATGTAATAGCAAAAGATGTTCCATAGCAGTTCTGTTTTCAACTGTTGCTTTACTGTACCTGGAGACTGAGTTCCTCTCCACCCGTGCAGCAGGAAAAGCCTGGACAGGAGGTGTGCTGGATTTCCTGTGTCGCTTTGCCAAAGTGCCTTTTGGTTTGTCTAAACGTGAAAGGTATTACAGGGTATGGTAGAGTGTGAATGCAAAGTCCGATAACTACTGTGGACTGTCTCCTTGTGAAGCAGTCATATAGAGGGAAACTTACTCTAGTTTCATTAATCCAAAATGAATGATAGCAGTTCCTCAGTTGGAGGAATTTAATTATTCTGGAATTGGGTCGTCATCTCCAACACTAGACTGTCCCTCAGTCATGTTGTCTAAATTCTGCTTTTAAGGATTTTCCATTTTTTTTATCTCATCCTTTGATCTTGTCTGTCTGTCTGAAGCATTGTAAAAGATGTGCTTTGGCAACAGATATTAAAAAAACATTGCTATCATGTCCAAAAAAAAGAGGCTTGCTCTGAAGTGCTCCTGCTCTTAAGCTAAAGGGGAGCTTCAGTACTACCTGTATGAAATTGGTGTGGCATGGCATGTAGGTCGATACATCATTCTTTTGGTCATTTTAAAAATTAGTATGATAATTTTACCATTTAAAGCATCTTCCCAACTCGAAGGCTTCAATTCAATAGTGTACTTGCTTGTATTCATAATTCTGAGCTGTCTGGCTAGATAGCTCTATGGAAGTGAATGGGGTTTCTGTTGTTTAAATCATGCACATGATTAAATACATTAGTGAGCAGGATTTATATGGAAGAACAGTTTTGCATAGGAGTTTGGACCTTATTAATCCCCATGTACTTGGAGGTCCAAATTTCAGACCAAAAAAAAAACCCAGGAAGACCCTTGTATTTACTGCCTGATTCTTTCCTTGGAGCTCTCATGCCAACTTTTCCAGGTATAAGATGTCCAGTAATTGTGGTACACAGTGAGTGGAATTCATCTCACTGAATGTTAGCTCTCTGAAAGTTAGACATCTAGTTTAAGGGAGGAATCTGGGCACCTCTAGAGAGCTATTAATCTCCTCCTAAGATAGATATTTAAGGAAAGTAGAATGAATCATGTTCTGGAGAGCCTCTCTGGAGACTGTGGAAGCTGTGATTTAGCTCAGGTTAGATACTTGGCTTTAGAATACTAAACTGAGATAAATTCCATCCAGTGCTGTACTACCTGTCTTGGAATAGGAAAAAACAAGACCAGAACAAGGTCCATCCCCAAACCTCAAAACCCTCCAAAATCTATGTAGAAAGAAGCAAATTAAAGAGATGCTGGCAACTTGAAAAGTCAGTGTTTTAAATGCCAGGATCTACTTCTGCCCCTGAGTCGTTGCCAATGCCTGTGGTATGTCTGGTGAGTTTGGGAGGGGGAGCGGGGGGGCAATGCATCCCTCTTCCCTGTTCTGAAATCTGATGTACCTAACTGGCTATATGTATAGTTCTGTTAATGCATGAAATTAACGGGCAAACGTAATTAATGTATTGCAGCTATTTTGATAATCTTTCATGTTGCTATAATTAAGACTATGACTAGTTTAACTGCTCTCCTGTCATCAGAAATGTTACCCACTGTGCTCTTGCAAAAATTGTGTGTTTAGTCCTGGTTCTTACTGTGTGTACTTATTGCATCTCATGGGATAAGTTTCCCACGTCACATCTGCAGAACTACTAAATTTACAAAAACTAGATAAAATGTAGCATTTTATTATATGGAGTATGGGGGTGACTTTATATATTGATTTACATGTTCATTATTACTCTTTTGCAATGATTCCATAAATTGTAGCTTTTGAAATTACTAGGCTAGGAATTCCTGGTTTAATGCATCTGTATATGCTGTGGTGGACACAGTCAACGTTTTTCCCAAATGAAGTCATTTGTCCTTCACTGAGATGACGATTTCTGTGATTTTAGATTTCTGACTTGATAATGAAATCCAAGAAGGGCTCTTTAGTAAATATTACCAGGCATGGGACAGGTTGTGATAATTAACATTAGCAAGGGCTGAGGCATGAGTCCTGTGTGTTACAGATCCTCACGATCTTCAAAGAAGGGCCTTGGCAAGAGTTGCCTCTTTTTAAGAACATTCAGCCTCAGTGATAGCAAGCAGTGGTGAGATTTTCCTTTTTAGCTAATGGACTTAAGTACTGTTATTTTAGTTGGGAGTTATGTAGCTCTGGTTTCTCCCTGTCTTGTTTTCATTTAAGAACGATAAAAGGCACGGAACAGAGATCCTAAATTGAAGGGGATCCTTTGTGAGGAATTAAGTTTTTCTCTTGCATGTTTTGTTCCCCTTTTCTAGAAACAAACAAATAAAAAAACCCCTCAACTATTTGAAAGCTCTCTCTTTTTCCTTGGGTACTGAAGAAATGCAAATGTCAAGAAAGTTGAGAACAGCAACAAAGGGGACTTATCCACATTTATCTGGAAGCTCATGAAAGGGTGGCCAGAGCTATTTCTAGACATAAGTGCATTGTTCTAGACCAGCTGTTATCTTTCCCAGAAATTTAGTTTCCCATATAATTTCACATGCTCATACTTCTCAGTCAAGATTTACCATTTAGATGTTCTTAATATTGACCTTTCATATACATGCTTGTGCAGTAATTCCTAGTGTCTCATTGTTTCATTTTTATGAACTACATAAAAATATTTTTTCTTCGCCTACCGCTACCCAGCTGCATTTTTTGTTAAACTCTGAAATGATTTTGTGCATGCACACACAGATGCGCTTAAGACTTAACTACTTAGGATTTTTGCAATCGGTCCTTTTTTGAGGACAAATAAACTGCAGGTTTGGGGTAAAAATGGTAAAGAGAAGGCTCTGGAGAAGAGAAGGCTCAGGGGAAATCTTAGCAGCATATAGGAATACCTGATGGAGGGGGTGGAATGAAGAAGATGGGAGCCAGATTCTCAGTGATGCCCACGGACAGGACAAGAGGCAATGGGCACACGCTGAAACACGGGAGACTCCATCTCAACACAAGTTGACACGTTTTACGGGAAGGGTGACCAAGCACTGGCACAGGTTGCCCAGAGAGGTGGTGGAGCCTCCCACCGTGGGGATACTCAAAAGCTGTCTGGACATGGTCCTGGGCAACCAGCTCTGGGTGTCCCTGCTTGAGCCGGGGCTTGGACCAGATGAGCTCCAGAGGTCCCTGCCACCCTCAGCCATGCCGTGGTTCTGTGATCTGAGACTTGCCCTTTGGCTGTTCTGTTTGCTTCAGTCTGAAGGTGGTAGGGAGGGGAAAAAGAAATAGTACCTATCTTAAGAAACCTGCAATGTTGAGAACAGTCACAACCGTTCATTTGCTTTTTTTTCTTTATTTTGAGAGGTAACATTTTTCTTGGTTTAGGTTAGTAGGAAAATCTGAATGTGACTTATTAAAATAAAATTTTGGTAAGTTTTCGACATACGGTTCTGTAATGTACAACACACATGATTAGTTTACAGGAGTAGTATTGTCATTCTGAAGTGTGAAAGTTTAGACCAAAGACTAAGATAAATATCCCTATTCTTAGGTACTGAAACAATAGTTTCTGTTTAGAAACCGAGTTGTCTGTAATACATTAGGAACTGTTTAGTTTGCATATTTTTAGTATTTGTTTACATAGATCTTATAATAAATTGGGATTACCATGGTTTAGGTGCCCGTTGTTTCTGCTTACTCTCTAGGAAACTGAGTATAGCTGTTAACGCTTATAGTGTCAAAACATGAAAATTTGAATTCAGGTGAAAAAGAGGACAAAGTTTATGAAACACTGAACTGTCTGAGCGTTTTAGGGAGATACTGTGTATAATTGTGGTGAA